TTTCCCCAATGGTTACCACTTGCCTCAGCACTGACATTTGTTTTAATATTTTTTATGCGTAATTTCTCACATTATATTTATTTGCACTTACACTTAGAAAAAAAACGAAGCATTCCACTGGGATGACTTTAATAAAAGTTGCTTATTAAAAGTTCCATAACAGCATTATTCCCAACACTGAAACCAAAGTCCTCATATTTAAGAGTTTTCATGACTCAATAGATTAAGTGTGAAATAGGAAATATACTAAGAATAAGAACATAGCCATATCCCACATAGTTGTTCCACTTAAAATTCTTCTTGAAAAGTAACACAATTCAAAAATAAATCATTCTTCATAGAGTGAAATGTGCTAAAAAGATTCTGTGGAAAATCCTTGATATAGTCATAAAATGAGTGCATGGAAAGTTGTACAAGATGAGAGGAAAATCAAATTGAAATTATATATTGAGGGTGGGGGGAACAATGAAAACATCAGCTTCTGTTCTGAAAGAAAAAAGTCTCTGATCAGCTGCCCCAGCAGTGTTCAGTGCAGAACTGTTAGCTCAGACGTATATTATATAGTCTCACATCTCTGAGACACCTACAGGTTCCTCTATAATCAATGAGGAGAGGTTATTTCCTTGGGAATGTCAAGTCTTCATTGGTCCGACTTGCCATCAGAAGAACCTGCTGCTTTCTGCTGACCGTGAGAAGGGGGCAAAGTTGGCAACTTTGGATAGTGCTTCTGTTCAGTGGGAATAAATCCAGACCTTAACATCTTCAAAGGTTTGCCTCTGTGTGGGCTGTGGGACATTTGCTCTTGTTTTCACCCGTGCTGTATAATATACAGAACCCGATATGTTAGTGCCAGCACTTTCTGGTTCAGTTAAGAGACACTTCCATCTGCCCTAAACCGAAGTCTTCCAAGCGGATATTCCGGATATTCCTTCCAACTGCGTTGTCATACTGCATGCACTCTGGCTTGCTTTTTTTTTTTTCTTTTTTTTTTTCTTCCTACTTTTTCCCCATGCAATCTATTTGTCTTATGTTTCATGAAAGTAGAACAGGATCTATGAGAACAGCAAGGGAAATGTGAACATCAATAATGTTCGCAGCTGTGGCCAACTCTTACCTTTTTTTTTTTAATATTAAACAAAAGACGTGCGAGTTCCTGAAGCTCCTGGCATCCTGAATGTTTCTGGACCATCCCACATTACCATTCGTCAGCTTGTCCTGATGATTGACTAGCCCCTGGAAGACACCCTGGAGATGTGCTCCTTTCTATTTATGGTTGGGGGGTTACAAAGAGTAAGGATATGACTTCCATCAGCTGAGCTAACGCAGCTGGGGAGCATCATTTCTGTCAAACCGTTCCAAGTCTTCCGTGCCTTATAATCTAAACCAGTAATACCTTTTTAGTAGCTGTACACACTCCATCAACACGGCCTCTTCAGATGATCTGCTTGCTCTGCATTAATTCATTATAGATTGGCAGCAGTTTTGCTGTGTTAGGTTCTGCAATTCTGGGATGGTTTCTGTATAAAGTGCCAGAAAGCTTTCATTAAAAAGAAATGACCCTGAATTTCAACAGTCATTGCTAGCCATCCTAGTAGCTTAGTTCTTCACCACCAACCACAGGCTTTCTCACAAGCCAGAAATAGTGCCAAACTGGGAAAGAATATATAAGAAAATCTTCACTAAAAACATCCAATTTAAGCTGTCATATTTCTTCTTGTTTGAGACATTTCTGGACTGGTTAGCTGCTGAGATAGATGCCAAGTCTGTTGCAAAAGCTATCATACTGGGTGTACTTATATATAAAATTACATATTAATGTAGTGTATGTTTGTGTTTGCATGTGTACATATTATATATATATATATATACATGTATACACACTGATATCATTCTGGGGGGTTGAAGCTATTCAATAGCTAGAGGTGAAGAAATTCTGCTCAAGTAGTAGTCAACAGTCAATGCCATGATTTAGGGCATTGTTTCAGCTCTGTTTCAGCAACTTGGAAATGAAGCTCTATAGCCTTAAAATGGCAGATTATGGGTTAAAAAAAAAAGAGAGAGAGAAAAAATTAGGAGAAATTGTACATTTGTTTCAGAACTGAACTGTAGTTCTTTCTGACTTAGTCTTGCCATCTATTGCAGTATTGCTGTAGGTAATCCTTGTTCAGAGGGCTGGGAAGAAGGATGAAAGATTTGTGGCGTGCTAGCTTGCAATGCAAAGCATCCTAGGTGGACCATGATTCATACTATAACATGAGCTGAGGTGGGATGAGGAGGTCCTTAGCATCGCGGCATGGTAGTTTCGGCTTGGTGTCAGTTGTTGTCACTATGAATTTGTGGAATTTTCAGTGCACCATCATATCGGTAACATCAGGACCTGAACACTTCTCTCATGTTTATAGTGATAATATGCACTATAGAGAAGCATAGGTTAGGTAGGAAACTTAGTGTTTTAGAACTCAAGTACTCACCAACTAAAATACACCAGAGCTGGGTTTTTATCTACCCCAGAGAGTAGATCCCCAGAGAGTCTTGAAGTGCATTGTAATGTCCCTTTGTGTTGCCAGAACTCTTAAAGAGGTGTTCTGTGGAATAAATTTGGCTTAATAGTGAGTTTCAGTGATCTTTATTTGAACATCTATTTCCTTTCCTTTTTTTTCTTTCTTCTTTTTTTCATTTTTTCTCTCCTTTCTTCTTTTCTCTTCATATTTCTAGAGAATTTCCTCCACTGTCAGAGGAGGTGCTTGCAAAAATAATGCTTTGTCATGAATTTCTGTCTCTGATTATATAGTAGCGCTCATATGGCTTCCAAATAATGAGCAGTTTGTGAGTCTAATCTTTTTCTTGCTGTTTATGGCAAAGGGGTCTGCTGAGTCACTGTGATAGGACTCTTTGCATTCAGCCCAAGACTATAAAGCCTAAGCAGCAGCAACATTTTACATATACGAAAACTTTCCTAAATGCAAATAATGTGCACGCTCTCCAGCTGAGAGCTCTTGTCACTTTTTGTGCAAATGAAAGTCATGATCACACCAACCAAAAACTGAAGTCTGAGCCTTGGTCTTTGCTAGCTGCAGACAGACTGATTTTGCCCTGCCCCGGATCATTTCTTCACCTTCATTCTCCCTGTTACCCATGCACAGATTATCAGGTGGAATTTAAGTGGATAGGACAACTTACACTTCATTTTGGCCTCATAGCCAGCATATTGGAGCTTAAATCTTCAGGAAAAATATCAAATAGATGTTTTACAGATAATGCAGGGATAAGTTTTTGCCCTCAAATCCTCTGTTTGGTTTCTCATCTCATCTCCACTTGACAAGGCATCTCAAGGGCAGGATTTGGTTGTATAAGCCACAGGACAGGGACTAGAACTATCATTAGTCAAACTTCTTTTTCACTTCCTAGTGGTTTTTGTTTTATTGATTGCAGGGTAAAGGAGGCAGTTTCTTATGGAGAAGTGTCTTTATTGTCTCTATTGTCAGTAGACAAGAATGATTTTACTTCTGCACCCAAAGAGATATCTGGACAAGTTAGGCTTCTTTTAGCATGTTTCTTAAAATTCCACTGGTACCTAACAGTGATTATTACTTGCTGATGTGTTTGGAAGCTTATTGCATGTGCCTCTACATTACCTTTTAACTGAAGGATGAAAACACGGTGGGATTTCCTTGTCATTTCTGTTATTTCAAATAGTTTATTCCACAAACCCTGAGAGAAGGGTAAGTCTGTGTCTTGTGCTGACTTGGTTCTTCTTACTTTTTAGCCTGTTGCACACCGATATCGGTACAGTCACAGTGACATAAACCAGAAGAATAGTCAAAAATCAGATCCTTCCTACATCAAATCATTTTCCACATCTGTTTCTAATTTGTTTCATAATGACACATGGGCTTATCTTGGGAATATATTCTGCTTTAACTGTCATGCCATTGACTTTATAGCCTTATCAAATATCCACTGGCGTGCAAGTTGAGCAATTATCATCTAGTAAGAAGAAATCCCAAGAAAATGTAGATTGATAATAACATATTTCAATAATGGCTTGTAGCATTAGTGCCATTTTCTATTATTGAAGTTGAGATCCAGCATTCTCTTCACTCTTACTACTTTTATTTATTGTGAAAAATCTTGATAGAGACCCCACAGCAGAAAATCTTTTTTTTTTTTTTTTTTTGATTATTTATTCATTTATGGTTAGAAGGAGCAAAGACATAAAACTGGATAGGAGTGAGAAATGTGTCTGAAGTATTAAAAATAAAAATAAGGACAAAGAAAAAGAAAGAAATTCAATATTGTGCCAGATATTGCAGTCATAGGATGACAGTATAAAGACAATCAGAGAGGGTGCATCTACATGCACATGCTATAGGAGACTGAGCTTGAATTTTTGGGATCAATCTTCAGAAAGCTATGCCCAAACAGTTTTTCTCATAGTGCAGTAAACCCTGCCAGACTAACTTGAATACTACCACTCCATTTTCCCTTTACCTTTGTCTTTAATAAATTTTTGTAAAGTCCTTTTGGTGTTCTTTTAAAAATATGCAACACACACACATGTGCAGACACGCACACATATATATTCACAATATAATCAAAGAAGCCTTTAATAAAAACCATATTCAGAGATGTTTTGGAAAGTATAGCCAATTAAAAATGGCTTTCATCTCTTTCAGACAATAATTTCAAATACTAACATATTCAGTAAATACAACGTGGACAATATTACTACTGAGAATTCAATGAAACCGTGAAAATTATATATGAAGTAGAGTAGATGAGACAAGACCTGTGAATGTGCATTTGTGCTTTTGACTTGCTTCAGCACCGTGTCCATTAGAAGGTGGGCATTTTTGTGAGATCCATAACTTGTGTGGGTTCATATCTCCGAAGACACAAGACCAGTTTGAATCGAATATGCTGCTCTCTATTGACTTCAAATTACCTTTTGTGTCCTTTCAAAAAAAATAATGTTGTTTCTTTCTTCTTCCCTCTCACAGGACAACATTTTTAAAATGGAAGATTCACATTTTGAAAATGGCCGAGGGAAAAGCCCTTACGATCCTAAATTGCTGACAGCTTCTCTTTTAGTAGGTAGGTGCCACAAAATATGTTCAATAAGACATGCACTCACTGCAGATAATGGCCAGTTTTTGACTTTTCTTCTCCTGACTGCATCTGTGATGGTTTTGTTGGGTGTGCACTTTCTTTCTAGGTTAAAGTCATTTTGGTTTTACCTTTAATTTTGTTGACCCAGGTGTTGTCTTGAAAAATAAGATGCATATAAACCAGGATTCACAAGAGTGCCTTTATCCCTCTATAAAAGTTTGATTCTGCAAAATGGTTCTTCTCCTCAGATCTAGAAGGTTCTGGAGGTATTTTAATCATTGAATTTATAGTTTGACCATAATAACATTTGTACCAGCACATCTAAAAGCAAAGTAACAGCAG